CCCTTCTTGAGGAGCCACCAATTCTGCAGCTACTCAAGAATTTCCCAGCATTTTATGGAACCCGAAGGTTCATCACCGTGTTCACAAGAGCCCTCCACTGGTCCCTATCCTGAGCCAGATCTATCCAATCCACACCCTCCCATTCTAGCTCTCCAAGATCCATTCTAATATTGTGCACCCAACTATGCCTTGGTCTTCCATGTGGTCTCTTTCCTTCTGGCATGCCCACCAATATCCTATACGCATTCCTTATCTCCCCCATTCGTGCTACATGACCTGCCCACCTCAGCCTCCTTATTGACTTTATTGACTTTATCATTCTAATTATACTTGGGGAAGAGTACAAGTTATAAAGCTCCTCATTATGCAGTTTTCTCCAACCTCCTGTGACTTCATCTCTCTTTGGTCCAAATATTCTCCTCAACACCCTGTTCTCAAACACCCTCAGTCTATGTTCCTCCCTTAATGTCAGAGACCAAGTTTCACACCCATACAGAACCACAGGCAAAATTATAGTTTTGTATATTCTAATTTTTATGTTTTTGGACAACAGACGAGAAGACAAAAAGTTCTGGACTGAATGGTAGCAAGCATTACCTGAGTTCAATCGCCTCTTAATTTCCTCCTGAATCAGGTTTCGATCTGTTATCGTTGTTCCAAATATCTGAACTGTGCCATATTTCCAAAACATCTGTTTCCTGTCTTTATATCATGATTTTGCCCTGCATTTTGGTGACGAGGCAGTAACATATACTTCGTTTTCTCTGTGTTTACTTCTAGACCAACCTCTTTACTTGCATCAGTTAAAGTTTGTGTCTTTTTCTTTATGATATCTGCATTATCACCCAGTAGATTCACATCGGCGTAGACCAACAGCTGATGTGTCCCATTTAGTTTCAATCCCACCTGGTTTCCCTGGACCGTCCTAATTGCATATTCTAAGGCAAAGTTGAAAAGGAGTGGCAATAAAGCATCTCGTTGTTTTAGACCATTCTGGATAGGATATTTATAAGACAAATGTTTACGTACACGGACTTTACTTATACGTTTCATTTTAAACACATTTTATTCAACCTAACTAGTTTACACAGGAGATGATGAGTAAAATGGAGGAGCGAAGAAAATGGAAGAATGTCAACAATGAAGAAGGCAGGAGGAAATACAGGAGACTGAGGAATGAATTGAAAAGAGCCACGGACAGGGCCAAAAAGGAATATCTTGAGAAGATATGTAATGAGATTATGGAATTTCAAAGAACAGGCCGTTATGATTTGATGTACATGAAGACAAAAGAACTAGGATGGAAAGAGAATCATGGGATTCAAAATGTTGGCATCGAAGACTCCCAGGGGAATAGAATAGTAGATCAGAGGCAAGTGCTGAAAATTTGGGAAAATTATATTTCAGAACTATATGATCGACTCGACC